CTCCTCTTTTCAATCTTATCCTTACAACAACCCTGCAAGGTAGGGTGGGCTGAAACTCTGTGGCTTGTCCAAAGTCACCCAGTGAGTTCCCACACTGAGCGGGAAGTACATCTCCGGTGACCCAGTCCTACACTCGTTAACTGCTATACCACACTGGCTCTCACTATACGATGCAGGCTCACTACTCCACACTTGGTCCTCTCATGACAGTACTCATTTTAAGAACTAGTAGTATGGGCATCTGAAGCAGCCCGTGGAAACACAACCAAGTTACTGGGTACTAGGAATAACATGAACCAGAATTAAAGACAAAATAATCCCTTGCAGCCATTCATGTCTCCCTAAACCAAACTATGAGTATTTTTCAACTGCAAGTTGACAACCCTACAGTTCCAATCCAAAGGAGCAGCTCTGAATTCTCAGTGGATTCAGGAAATAGTTTTTAATGACAGTATCTGTTTGCATGCATCTCGGTGGCTATTTTCTGTTCAGCAGTATGCATAATGCATGATTTATGAATTTATTTACAAGTCTTTACAAACCGTTTGCATTGACAGATTTCAAAGTCGTGAACACCAATCATCAAACTATTAAGCCAATATACACAGTCAAATTATATCTACATGTCCACAAGAGTAGAACACATGGTACCTCAGAAAGGCTTGCATGCAATACAGAGATGCGTCTTCAACATGCACCTAAAACAAGAATTGTCAGCACGAGTCTAATCTCAGGGGAAAAATCGTTCCACAAGGGTGGCACCACCACGCAGAATGTCTTGCTCTGAATAACCACAAAATGGAACCTAAGGAAACAGGAAGGGCCTCACCAGAAAATCACAAGGATCAAAACCGCTACAGAAGGGTGGAAATAGGTAAATAGGTCACAGTTTATAGCTTTGTATACTGACAACAGAGCTTCAACCTGACCCAGCGGCAGACAGAGAGCCAGTGCAGTTCCTTCAGTACAGAAGAAATATGCAGCAATTTAGCTGGAGCATTCTGTGCCAACTGTCAGCCTAGAGTACAAGGCATTTCATGCGAGCAGCTCCATGTGAAGTGCACTGTGGCAATTTAACCTCAAGGTTACCAATGCCTGGACCACTGTTGTCAAGCTACGCAGGAAGAGCTGCAGGTAGCATTAATGGCCAAAGCTGGTAAAGGGCATTTCTAGATCCAGAAATGATGGATCCAGAAGTACCAAGATGGATCCAGATGGACTGCTCCTCAGTCCTGCAGAGGGAGCACAACTTCAAAGACCCAGAAACCACGGAGTCCTAAGACCTCCTTTTCGCCAAGATTCAGTCTCAGTTTACTGGCCTTCACCCAGCTCTCCACTGCATCTAAGCACTGGTCCCAGACCTGTCCAGCCACACTCGATTCAGATGTAACAGAGGAGTGGATCTGGGTCTCACCAAGTGACTCTTCCTCCAAATCATCTCATGACTACTGCCAACCGCTTCCTAGAGATGTTACACAGCACCGGCTACAAGATGGTACCCTGCAACATCCCACTGCCAAGGGAGCCAAGGAACGGTCTTCCAAGACCACTCTCCTGAACCGACATTGCAGGTAGGAGTGATATATTCTCCAACCCATCAAACTCGTCCAAGACAATACCATGATGGATGCTTATCAAAGGCTGGGGAAATCAAGCAAGAGCCACAGGGTTGCAACTCCTCACCTCCCTCTTCCAGGAAGAGTCACCCCTCAGGACAACAAAGGCAAATTCAGTACAAAATCTGAAAGATGACATCACGAATGCAAAACATGACATCAAAACAGTGGCTGTAATGATTTCCAGTGTCATGAGACTGTGTTCCTTTAAATGTTGGTAAGTTTCAAAAGGGCAAGGGAAGTAAAAGAGTGGAACAATGAGTGAGATGACTGGTTGGAGACTAAGTGTGTGTGGGGGGGGGGGGCTTGGAAGTGTGGGAGGAGAGAGAAATAGATACTTTCCATCAGATAGCAGTGACCAGTCAGAGTTGTGGTCAGCCAGTAGTTTGCAGGATCTGGAAGAGCAGCCTTCTCATTAGAACCTCAAATGCTTTTCACAGCACTGTAAGAGATGCTAAAGAAAAAGGAAGTAGAATGCTGGGAGGACATATTAGCAACTCGGGGGAGTCAAAACCTGATATGGCCCAGGATTATAGGGGTGTGGGAGACAGAAGCTGGGTGCAGAGGGGAAAGAGTGAACTGAGATAAATAGAAAAAAGCACATTCAGAAAGTGGATTTGAGAGTGAGGAGCAACTGGGAAGGGAAAGAGTGCAATACCTCAGTCAGATGCTATCTTATTTCTTTAGTCAATAAAACAGCATATAAGTTACAGAACATCTTGAAACCAATGTGCTTAATGTACAAATAAAGTTTTATTTTGTTTGTTAAGTAAGTATCAACAGAGTCAAAGGCTGTTTCAATATCAGTATCTCATCCTCAGGACCACATAATTCAACGAAGGAGCCTTATAGCTTGGGCACAATACTGTAGGAAAAGTTAATTAATAAGACTGGAATTAAACTCCTGGTGGCGGCACCACATACCCAGAGAAAGAGAGAGAAATATCAAAAACTTTAAAAACATACTATATCCAATCAAAATATAGGTGTGTACTCATTATGACAGTGATGATATATAGGCAGCTGATATTCTAGTCTGACTTCTGCTAAATCTGCAGTGTGGCAAGTTTGAAGCACCGCTATTGGGCAATCAAAAATGGAAGTACTGTGTGAGCATATGAAGCTTTCCTGTACATAGTTAAGACACCGGTTCCTCTAGAGTAGTGTTACTTTCTCTAACTGAGGGAAGCCTCAAGCCAGCCCTGCCGTTCAACATCCTTTCACGCCAGGAACTGAAATCAAGCTCTTAGACATATAAAATGTTGCTACCCCAAGCTTTCAGTTTCCTGAGCCCGTCAAAACAAAACAAAACAAAACAAAACCTCACTATAACTCTGATGAAAGAATATAGACAGCAGCACATACAAAGATTAGCCTGCCGTGGTATCAGCTGAGAATAACTCATGCTAAACAGCATAGGAGTAGCCCTGTAGTTTCCATGCAGTGTAACATCCTGTCTCAGACAGCAACCAACCAGATGCCTCACAAGCAGGGCATGAAGGCAAGCTATGTCCTTTGAAAAGTGAAATTCCACATGGCAGTGAATATTCCACGGTCAGTGGAAAATGCATTCCCAAGTAATAATAATTGAGTTTGAGGAAAATGTAATTTCCCTGCACCAGAAGCTGTATTTTGAGGACAGGCATCTGGATTTCATGCAGCAACTGAACCCCCCTTATTGTACATTTAACAGACTAGCTGGGAGAGTGGCTAAAGGTCCACAAGCGAGATATCTAAGGGTGTCATAAGTTTTTAAAAAGTTAAACTTAATTTTAACCACACAAGCCTCCAAAGATTTAGCCAAACTAGATGCACATTTAAAGAGCTAGCACAGATACTAAGCAGTACTTAATTTCAAAAAGCACAACTCACCATTTTCCTTCCCTATCCCCACTAACAATTGAAACAGCAGAGTAGTTTTACAGCTGTATGGTCTTAAACCAAAGAAAATGCAGAACAGCAACAAACCCCAATGCTTTTAATCAATCAAATGGTCCTACAGTAGAATGAGTTAGAAACAGAAGTTCTTCACATGAGTGGAGAACCTGTTACACAGACATCTTTCTAAACTGTAACGTACTTGGACCTGAGCAACAGGACCTATGAGTCATGACAAAGAATCAGGCCTTTACTCCTGCCAACTTTTCCTGCACTCTGCCAATATGTGCTCCCCAGCTCTGTAAACCATTAGTAAAACCACATCAAGGTAAAAGGCACTGCTCATGTACTGTAGTAATATCATGTTTTAAACCAAATTTGTGTTGCATTCGCCAAATAAACTGGACATAACTCCTATACAATCTTGCCATGAAAAGCTGTTTCTCTATGAGGAACACAGAACTGATGCACAAAATTACTGATTCCCAATGCCTAACTTTGCAGACAGAAAAACTGTATGGCATAATAATTACAGTGTTTGCCAGTGCAAAAAGAAATTGAGAATTTCAGCCAAAATGAAAAATACCGACCACTATAAAGGCTTAAAGAGCACTGCTGCTTTCTAAGCATGGGAACAAAAGAGGATCCAGAAACTATTGGCTTAACTAATGGTTAAAAGCTAAAATGAGGCAGTTATCTTCCTCCCTACTCAACACTGGATCCAGATGGGACTCCAGTCTGCCAATCAGCCAGTAACTGGGTGGCAAAGCTTCCATAACAATAAAGTTAGAAATGAGCATGTTCTTGCAAACCGTAGCTAGACATCAAAGAAGCACTATTTTGTGCAGAAAGTGGGGAGCGACATCGTAACGAAGGGGACCAAGACAACTAGATGTGTGCGTGCGTGCGTGCTTGGCACTCATTCGCATCCCACTCTTCCGCGGGGCCCCAAGTGCCGCCCTCCTCCTCGCAGCTCCCGAGGGGTCCAAGGGCTTTCCAAGCCGAGCGAGGATTTGGAGCCGGGCTCCTGGTCCACGACTCCTCCGCGCGCCCGCAACTGTGCGCACGCAGGCAGGCAGGCGCGTGTGCAGCCGGGCCCACGGGCGGGCGCCCAGCGGCCGGGAGGCTCCTCGATCGGTGCCCGTCGCGCCAGCAAGCGGCAACGCGGAGGCGGCAGAGCAGCAGGCCCGGCCGGGGGCGCCCGCCCAGGCCCAGCGCGCGCTGCCCGCCGAAGGAAGCCCCTTCCCGGGGGCCGCCGCGCCGGGCCTCACCACGCGCGAGGGAACCGCCGAAGCTGCCCTCGCCGCCGGCCCCGCTCCGAGGCCGGGCGGCCGGCGAGGGAGCGCGGCGGGGGGCGGCCGCGTCGCGGTGGCAACGGAGCCCCTCTCCGCAAGCAGGGAAGCCAGCGCCCGCCCCCGGGGCCGTTGGTGGCGGCGGCGCCTCGTGCGCGGCCCCCCGGCAGGGCCGGGCGCGACGGAGGGGCCCCCCGCCGGCGCGGGTACTCACCGGGTCCCGCAGGCACGGGGGCCGCTCCCCCCGGGGCGTACATGGCCGTCCGCTCGCGGGCGGCGTGGCGCCTCTTCTTCGCGGGGGGCGGCGCGGCGGCGGCGCGGGGGCGATTTAAAACCCGCCTCCGCCGCCGCCGCCTCCTCCTCCTCGGGCGGGCGCTGCGCGGCTCCTCGGGCGGCCTGGCGGCCTCCTCCTTCCTTCCCTCGCTCGCTCGCTCGCTCGCTCGCTCCGCGCTC